AGCATGGCTTTGGGACCAAGCTTTTGGTCAGTAAATTGAAGCAGTGCAATAAGAGATTACAAATAACATAGTGGCGACTAGGATCGGCCCTGGAATATGACTTGGATCATGAGATTTTAATTGATGTTTTATCGTTTGATGTTTTAATTGTTTTGGATTTTACTGCATTTGTTTTTTTAATCAATATATGTGGCATCAAATTGTTGCCTTTGTGAGGCCGCTCTGAGTCCCTTTGGGGTGAGAAGAGCAGGGTACCCAAATTTGACTGCTAAGTGTGCACAAAGCAAAATATTCATATACTGGAGAATATAGAGTGTAATCCTGCAACCAACTGATAGTCTTGTCTGAGTGTGGCAGTGCTGGTGCAAATAATAATAAACTAAGCCATACATAAGATAACCATACTCAGACTATCTTAGTTTATTCTTTAATGAAGTTCCCCTAAGGAAAGATACATTTACTCTTGTTAAGTATTGTTTTTGATAATTCTATATATTTTCTTGTATTGAAGCCCTCCAATACAGCAAGTATAAACAGTTCTTTTTAAAAAGGGAGAGGGCTTTTCATTTTCTCACAAACAATAGTAAATGGGTAGTTCAACCTATTAGGCTTGCCTGCTGGTTAGTATCCCTACTGGAATCAGGAGTCATTCACTATACCAGAGTAATTACAATGTGCATGTCCGAATTAGATGATATTCAGCATAGTAAGCTGTGTATGTGCATTCATGTGTGTAATCTACAAAAAGATTATTCTGAGTAAAAAGATGAGCAGGCTATCATAACTTGCTGTAAGAAAAATATTATTTGATAATAAAAATGCTACAGTGTTAGCACACAATAGCAAACAGGACATATTGGAATTTATACATACATGTATATAATTCTAAAATATATTTAAGCGAGGGGAGCAGTGAGAGGGTGACAGAGATTAAACTGGCGACTACTGCCAGGAATCCTTTCATCATCTGCAGCAAATGCATTTTGGCTACAGTGTTTATAGCAGTACCATGACCTAGCAAGAACGTGCCTCTGTGCTGCTGTCTTCGTTGATCATCCTGATTAGTTGCCTAATCTGATTATTGTTCTCTGTCTTCCATATGTCATTTTGAAGGCAGGGAGCTAACGCTGGTGTGTATAGAATTGCAGTACACCAAACAAAATAGTGAATTTGCTATTGTTACATTGTTTCATAATGATTTTCATTTATTATTCATATACTGGTAATAATAATTAATTTCCAATGTTTCATTAAAAATACGACTTGAGTATCCCTTAACTTTGGACCAAAAGTACTTTGATTTTTTTGTGTTTTGTAATATCAGTATTTGTATACATGTACATAATCATATATCTTGGAGGTGGGACCCAAGTCTAAACACAAAATTCATCTATTTTCACATATACTTTATATACATAGTTTAGAGATAATTTGTATAATATTTTTCATAATTGTGTTCATGAAACAAACGCACTGAAGTATCAGAAAACAAAGGTGTCTCTATCTCAGCCACTCATGTGGACAATTTCAAATTTTGAGTACAGTTTTTTGGATATTTGAATTCCAGATAAGAGATTTTCAACACATCTTCTGCCTACTACTAGATTTTGTTATTGATATACTTTTCATTTGTTTTAAAAGGAAATGATTAGTGGAAAAGTATTAAGACAGTGATGGAGTGATATTCCTTCTCAATATGTTTTCCAATTAAAAGGTTTAAATTCACACAAGAGCTTGTAGTATCTCCTAGAATGGTTACAAATCAGGATATTCCTCTTTTCAGTCTCATCTCTATATATACTCAGACAAGCTACTTGCTTTCATTCCCACTGTAATAGTTGTGTTTACCATTTTAGTAAGGTTATATATGCTATTTTATTTGCAACTATGTAAAGTAGGGGTCTTTAGATGTTGCAGCACTGGAACATCATTGGCTACACTGACTAGGACAGGTGGAAGTTGGGGTCTAGCAACATCTGGAGGGCTGGACCTTGTGCACTCCGATCTATAAGTACTATATAATTGGTCAGTATTATTTATCTTTGTTTCTAAGAAACCATAATCAGTTTAATTTTCATTCCCAGAATAGATTATTTCATAACCAATGAAAAGGAATGTGGCATTGTATTGTATTTATTCCTCATGTACTAATTTAATCCATATTCTTTGTTTTAAGAATAAGAGATTATTTCGATATCTTAATAAAATACTGACTGACTTGTATCTGAGACTAAGTATGTTGCATTACATCACAACAGGTGTAACTAAAAGGTTAAGGATCACACTGGGGGCGGTAATGCCAGTCCAAATGTAATTCATGTTTATTCCCTCCCCCAAATCTCAGAATGTAAACTGGATAAAACTTTCATTTGACTCTCCACTAGAGCAGTATTTTTAAGTTGGGTCACTTAATCCTAGCAGCAGACAGATGGCCTGAGAAGGGTGTGGTTCTGTGTTATTGATCCCAGCCAGATGGTATGGACGAGGGCTTTGGCACTGCCATCTCCCGCCAGGCCACAAGAAAAATAAAATGTAACCTGGGGTAAATTTTGGGAACTCCTTGTTTCTTTCTTTTTGCTTCTGACCCTTCACAGCATTTTTTATTGTTCTATAAGGGTTGGGGATCTTTTCTTCTATAATGCTTTGTTTTTTTATGGCTTTGGTCAGGAAACGCAGTTTCTATAATTATTTACATGAAGTGACCTATATTAAAATGTTCAGATTAATTTTAATTGTAATCAGCTGGGTTGTCCTCAGTAATATAGATGGTCCTCTGTACCTACAGATTCTGCATTCCTGGGTTCAACCATTCTTTACATCCCAAAGGCAGATCTTGATTTTGCCCTTTTATATAAGGAACACACTTTTACGATGCCATTGCATATGTAATGGGAATTGAACATCCATAGATTTCGGGATCTATCTGTAGGTTCTGGAACCAAATACCAAGAGCCCGTTGTGATCATATATTTTGACAGACTATTACTAGAAAACTGCTTTTCTAATTGGGTTCTCATAATTCTGAATCCAGAAGGCTTTCTTTGATACATGTTTGAAATGCTTGGTTTGCAATACTGTAAGATATAACCAAGACAGCAAGGTGTTGTGGTTAATTGCTGAACTATGGCTATAGAGAACAAGGGCAAAACCTTTTTAGCCTTGGAAACCCACTGAATGACCTTAGGCAAGTCACACTCAGTTTCAGAGGAAGGCAAATGCAAAGCCCGCTCTGAATAAATCTTACCAGTAAAACCCCATGATAGGGTTACCTTAGGGTTGCTTAGAAATGATTTGAAGGCATACAACAGCAACAAAATTATGATGAAGAAGAAACAAATGGGAGAATTAAAAAAAACTTATTTTAATTTTAAGTGTTTTGATTTTAAATGTTTCCAATGTAGTGTTCTATATTGTGTCTGAAAAGGGGTCTCTAATTTGTGCAACAGGTCCATTTTACAATTCTAAATCTATTCCTTTACTTCTCTAATCTCATTACATTTTTGATAAAAATTAAGTTACCAGAAAAATAAGTGGAGACAAAAACCTTACCTCAAGTTTTCAGCCATTAGGAAAAAGCTATTTATTATTCCTACGTGAAAAGCTCAGTTATCCCTCCCAAATAGCTTTTAAATCATTTTTGAAGTTTTTAAGAAACACAGTGAATTTGTCTTGGTTCACAATATCACAAAAATCAATCTGCCACACAATACAACAGTCAACATATATTTATATTTATCAGATTTGGGTTTTTATCAGAGATGTAGAAAATGTATTAAAAAATCTCAGGATTTGTACCATTTAAAAGAATGTGTTTGGGATTTAGTGAGTATGTGTGTTTAAGATACATTCCTAAATTTCCAGTTTCACATTTTACATACAGCTCTCTTCCTTTGAAGCTGCTGTTTAAAAAGTATTGAAACCAAAAGGTGGCATGGGCACCTTTTAAAAAGTCAGGTGAGAGAAGAATACCACACACACACTAACAATGTGTTTATTTTTTTGAAGATAAACTGTGAGAAAAGTCAGATATAAAGATGGATTGCTGAATTGCATTTAATGGATATGAAATTATTAATTCAAAATAAAGCAAACATATATATTTGGAATTTTTGAAATTGCCTGTCTATAAAAGCAGTCCCCAAGTTACAAACAGGATAGGTTCTGTAGGTTTGTTTTTAAGTTGAATATGTTTGTAAGGCAGAACAAGTTCATTTTTTAAGTGTAACACCAGTCAAAAATATATGCATTTTAGCTTTGGATAGCAAACCCTGTGGTGTTTGAAAATGTGGCTTGTTGTGGAAACAAGGTTTGGTGAGAAAGCTTCAGTGGAGACACATTTTCCCCGTAATAATTCTTTCAGGAGTGAATTTCCCTTTCAAGGAGTAGGTTTCTCTCACTTCCTGTTGTTTCATCTCTGCTCTTAACTATGAATCAGTTGTAAGGTGGATGTTTATAACTGGGGGGCTGCCTGTATATTACTCGTAGTAGAGAGAGAGAGAGACTTCCTCCTGAGACTTTTGAGACCTCAGCCTTCTCTTGCCTGAAACAACATATAGAGAATGTCCTTTTTGCTCACATACGTGATTACAGTCATCCCTCCAGATTTGTGGTTTTAACTTTTGGCAGATTTGATTGTACATGGGTTTGATTAAAAAGGTTCTAAAAATGCAATGTCTTTATTCACATTTTTTCAAGTTAATGGGGGTTCTGTGCCTCTAACCATGGTAAATGAGGAGACCTGGCTATGCATACGTTTCTTATTTGCAACCCCCTTAATTCTCCAGTGTTAATGTAGAATCCAGCCAACATTTGCTGAAGGCTTAAAAGTCTACTGTCCCATTTATTTTTCACAGAGAGACAAATTTGCTGATCTGCCTCCATAGTATTTGCTTTTTGTTCAATTTGAAAAAATGATTGAAGTCTCATGATGTGTGCTATTCTTGCTACTGTTGAATGCTTCAGGTTTCATAAGTATCATTGATCTGTTTTGGATGATGCAGGCCGCCTGGTGCTTGAAAGTACGGGCATTAACGGAAATGATTTATGTGGATGAAATAGATGTCGATCAGGAAGGCATTGCTGAGATGATGCTTGATGAAAATGCAATTGCACAAGTTGCACGTAAGTGAAGTTCAGATGTTATATAGCATGTTGGACCACACTAGTTCATATTGCCTTTTCCAAAACATGACATTATTTCTTTTACAAGAATAGGAAGCTAAATTGATATTATCAATTGATGTTATCTTCCTGTGTTTTTTTCTGTTTAAATTGTTTTGAAACCTATTATTATTATTATTATTATTATTATTATTATTATTATTGCCTTACTGTTTGTGAAAAAATATCGAAAACAGTAGATTGTGTATATTATTATTATTATTATTATTATTATTATTATTATTACTTACCTGCCGCTCTTCATGGCTTGAGGTAGGTGTCACAGAATAATTAAAACACATAAATATTGTAAAATTCCACAAATACACATATTAAGATGTGTTTATATAAAATGCATTTTAAAATACACAAAACAGAGATTAAACAAAGAATATCTGTTTAAAATTCATGCTTAAAAACTGGCTGACTAGGCCTGCCAAAAGAGATAAGTCTTTAGATGTTTTTAAAATGTCAACAACTCACTTAACTGTTGAAGCTCTTCTGACAGGTCGTTCCACAGTCTTGGGGTGGCCAATGAAAAGGTCCTCTGGGTGATGGTTGCCAGTCGGGTTCTGGCTGGTTGGAGTAACCACCCCCCAAAGGACCTAAGTTTGTGGGGTAGAATGTACAGGAGAATGTACAGGAGAAGGCGATCAAAACCAACACCTTGAACTTTACCCAGAAACGAATTGGCAGCCAGTGGAGTGACTTTAGGATAGGTGTAATATGCACACCCCTAGATGTTCCTGTAACCAATTTGACAGCCATATTTTGAACTGACTGGAGTTTCTGCAACTTGGTACAAATATAAGCCCGATGTAAAGCACATTGCAGAAGTCCAACCTTGAGGTTACCAGCACATGCACTATCATCTTTAAGTCCTCCAAGTCTTGGAAGGGACACAGCTGGCGTATCATCTGAAGCTGATAGTATGCACTCCTGACCGTCACATTTACCTGGGCTGACATTTGAAAGATAGATCCAGGAGCTCTCCCAAACTGCAAACACAGTCTTTCGGGGTGGGGGTGGGGTGTAACCTCATCCAGAACTGGTTGACACACCTCCATCCAGTTTCAGTTTGTTTTTCTTGATCCAGACCATTACCTCCTCCAGGCAGTCATTCAGAAGACACACTATCATTAGTTGAAGCAGTTTTTGAAGGCATGGAGAAATATATTTGGATGTCATCATACTGATAATACCCTGCCCATGCCTACAGATGATCTCTCTCAGCAGCTTCATGTAAATATTTTAAAAAATAGGGATAGAATGGCACCTTGTGGAATACCACACAACAGCTCCATATTTGAGGAGCAGCTATCCTCAAGTGCCACCATCTGGAACCTTCCTGAGATGAAAGGAGAAAAATGTGAAGAGTAATAAGAACATAAAATGATATAATGTCTTTTTATAGGTCCTGGTACTTCACTGAAAGTCCCTGGAACCGGTCAGGGTGGAGGTCCCAGCCAGGCTGTCAGGTATTAAGTTCCCTAATAAAATTAGCTGGTCATTGTGCTTTATTTTTTTAATTCCAGGATGTGGAACGAACAGTCTTTAGGCTGCATGTAGCTTGCAGGCATCTGCCAAATTTGAAATGTTTTGGGGAAAGAATCACTCATAATTTCCTCAACTGCTGCGGGGAAGAATAATTTGCCTTGAGCAACCCCAAATACTAGAACCTGTTTGTTTGTTTGTTTTCAAAAACTAATGGGGAAAAAATGAAGAAGTAAAAAAAGGATTACTTTGCAAGTTCCTGCCTCAATTTTTAGAATTAAGGAATGGTCTTACCATTTAGAATGAAAATCAACACATTTATTAAAGCAATTAAATTAAAATATTTATACTTCATTACATTTTAGGGGAGGAAATCAAACGCAATCTATAACCTGTTAGTGCTATATAGATAAAGAAGATAGATTATATAGATTCAAGCATACAACTATAAAGAAAGTAAAATAAAATAAAGAGCAATGTGACATAAAGGAGATGCTTTATTAAACTTTAGATGCACAATATTTACATTTCATACATTTTAGAACATTTTTGCAGTGTTATATTACAGTTAGTAGCTCTTTAATGAGATCCAGAATTTCATGCAAACTCCATTGAAATGCAGAACTGCTAATGCTGCAACGTAAGATGAAATGAAAGTCAGATTTACCCATGGGAGACATACCTCTTGTAATGTCTCTAGACTACCATATGTAGTATTGACTTGTTTATAACAGTAGAGAATATCATTTGATGCATGTTTTCCATTTTTGTTGATCATTTCAGGCCAGTGACTCAGACAGGGAGGCCCCTTACAGGATTTGTAAGGCCTAGCACACAGGGTGGAAGACCAGGTACGATCGAACAGGCTATAAAGACTCCAAGAACAGCTCATACAGCCCGTCCAATGACTAGTGCTTCAGGAAGATATGTGAGGCTTGGAACGGTAAGAAACAGGAAAAAAAGAAATGGGAAGTTCTGTTGATACTGTATTTCTTGATTCAAAGATGCCATTTATTGTAAGACGCATGTGTGTGTGTATATATATATGTGTGTGTGTGTATGTGTGTATATATATACACACACACACACATATATACATACTGCCATTCTAAGATGCATCCCATTTTTAGAGATGTTTATATGGGGCAAAAGGTATGTCTTAGAATTGAATAAAACAGTAGATGCCTGTCATTGTAATGTTTGAAAACTTGGAATGTTTAAGAGCATATGTATACATTAATTTCAAACAAGAAGTTGAGCTTTGTATCAGTTTTATTTTTTAATTTATTTTTCTCTTTGCCGTATTAAGGATTTTTAAAAAATCTTTAGAAGATTAGAAAATATAATACAAAATAAAATGTTTAAATAAATAATACGGAATATCTATCTGTTCTTGGTTTTATATTTTGTCTACTTGCAAGTAGGCATGCATAAGGTTGCATTGTGAAGATGTAGTTTTAAGTAAACTTGCAAAGAAGTAAGGTAGAAGAAATGAAGGAACAACAAAGAATAGCTTTCCTCAATAGGAGCCTACCTTGTTTGACACAGTCACACACAGTGGCTTTCCTATTTCTTCTAGAAAATTATTGTATGCTGATTACAATCTTCCCTTTTTCTGATGGACCAGAAGCAAAAAAAAAAACCAAAAAAAAAACCCACAAAACACAAGCTTCATAGACTAGAGCAGGAGTTTGAGCAGTTCAGTGACAAAACTCTGACCATTTCAGGTGTCAGGTCACAAAAGGTGAATTGTCATTCAAAACTAGTGTTGGAGGTATCTCAGAGGGCATTTAAAATGTCATTTTTCTTTTGATCATTCAGAGATGTCAGTCAGCACTTTTCTGGTTTCTTTGCTCTTGCAGGCATCTATGCTTACCAATCCTGATGGTCCCTTTATAAATGTTTCTAAACTGAATTTAAATAATTATGCTGAAAAACCAAAGTTGGCAAAGGTACGTGTTTTCTTGATATAATGTTCCTGTATCTTCTGAAATTCTTTATCCTTATAAAAGCAGATTCTTAGTTATTTAGATATTTCAGTTTGAGGAACAGTTACTTTCTAGCTGCTTTTGATTTAAGAGATGTATTTCTCAACTGAATGGGGGTGGGAGTGATGATGAAGAAGAAGCTTGCTTTTCCTGAAAACCAGGGCACAGGTTTGTAGAGATGCTATGGATAGGCAAGGAAAAAGGCTTGGTCTTCAAAAAAGAAATGCAAATATGACCATTGCTCTATTGTGGACAATATGGAAAGTCCATTATGGACTTTCTGCCCCGTTTTTGTTGTATCCCCTTCACCACTCCAACAAAAGTTGTGGCTGAATTAGTCTTTGCTTTTTCGTGCAAATGAAAAAGGATTGTAAAAAATGAAAACAGGCAATTCTATTCTCCTCTAATAATGTATGCACCACTTTCTGCTCAAAATTCTTCTCATTTAGAATTTTTTCCTGCTGTGGTAAAACCATAGGCAAATGTTCATGGTGTGAATTTTTTACTGCAGCAAACAATTTGTGTAAATGATGTTTGTGATTTTTATGTGAGCTACTTGACTGATTAAATGGCTTTTGTCTATCTTTGATTTAACTGTGTTTTCCAAATGTCTTTTCCTAACAGGCATTATTTGAATATATTTTCCATCATGAGAATGATGTTAAGAATGTAAGTCTGTTTGTCTGTTTTTCACTTATGGATTTTAATGTCACAGTTGTATGATGATGGCTCCTTAACTTCTCTGAAGCTTTTAAAAATAATGCTGTTATTACCTATGGTTTAGGTTAAGAGATGTTTGCATGGGGCACACCCAGAACACAGTCATTCAGATTTCCCCATTCTTCTCTGTCCCATTTAAGATTCTTTTTGCCTCATGCTATTATTTCAGAAGATCGTTAAACTTTCTCAAAACTTTCAGGAATCGGCTATATTGTGGGGTTAATCCAGGAAAGTCTGATTTTCAAGTAGTTCCAGTTGACTGTCTCTAAATCTATCCCTGCAGTGATATGTGTGTAGTAGAGTTCACTTAACACTATACAGTAGGGATATTAAAGTTTTGTGTATAGGGAAATCGATATATTAAAAAACTTTCCATGTGTATGTAGTTGCAGTAATAGTTTGATTCTTTACAGTTTTGTGAAAATATTTTTGGATACTGGGTATCGGTACTATAATACAGTATTAAAAGAGGAAACATCTTTAATTGGTACACAACCCCTAAGCAATTTCCAGTGAAAAGGAAAATGATAACATAAAAGATAACACACAAATGATTAGCTGTTTAAAAGTAACAAAACAAAAACAAACCAACTCCAGTATACACACAGAACACAGATCATAATTATTTTCATAAATACCTGCATTTCTTCAATTCTAAGACACCATTAATTGTCAGACCCATTGATTTCAGTATCACCAACATATATGAGTCTATATTAAATCTGTGGGCCTGTTGGAGAGGCAACAGAAGGAAGAAGTGTGCATAGGGCAATTAGCAAACATAAAGAACCATCTAGCTGAGGCTGATGGCAAAATAGTGGGGGACTGGCCAAGCTGTTTCGGCTGGGGCCCTTCCTCCTCCTCCTCCTCCTCCGGTTCTTTATGTTTGCTAATTGCCCTATGCACACTTCTTCCTTTTGTTGCCTCTCCAACAGGCCCACAGATTTAATATAGACTTATATATGTTGGTGATACTGAAATCAATGGGTCTGACAATCAATGGTGTCTTAGAATTGAAGAAATGCAGGCATTTATGAAAATAATTATGATCTGTGTTCTGTGTGTATACTGGAGTTGGTTTGTTTTTGTTTTGTTACTTTTAAACAGCTAATCATTTGTGTATTATCTTTTATGTTATCATTTTCCTTTTCACTGGAAATTGCTTAGGGGTTGTGTACCAATTAAAGATGTTTCCTCTTTTAATACTGTATTATAGTACCGATACCCAGTATCCAAAAATATTTTCACAAAACTGTAAAGAATCAAACTATTACTGCAACTACATACACATGGAAAGTTTTTTAATATATCGATTTCCCTATACACAAAGCCTCTTTTGGAGGCTTTTGAGTTGGCACTAAAAATACATCTTTGTGTCAGTGGAACTGCCAAAACACGTATCCACTCTATACTTACCCCAATGGCTAATGGTCTCTTTCCCCCCACCCAACTCTCCATGGGTCCTTGTCATTCTCACAGTGAGCTATGGGACTTTTGTGTGCATTTCCCAGGACAAAGAGGCTTATATTCTCTCTCCACTTTGTCCTTTTGGGGGACATCAACCTCGCAGAGGTTGCCAGCTCTTGGTTTCACAGGCTGTCAGAAAAAATGTGATTCTACCCTATTTTTAGAGAATCAAAGAAATATGGTACTTGTTGCACTGTAGCCCTGGAACACCCAACACGACACAATTTTCAGATAATCCAATAAGTAAAAGTTTATTAATAAATATAAAAGGAAAACAGCAAGTCAAAAAAGAAGCTGCAAAAATACAAAATGTATTTCCCAACGAGATCAAAAGTTCATCAGCTGGCATCAAAAGGCAATCCATAAAGACTTGAGTTAACACAAAGCAAATGAATACTTAAGGTATTGTTCAAAAGTTATATCCATAAACATGAAAAAAGTAACACAAGAAAGGCAAAACCTCCAAGAACATGAAGTCATCAACAGGAATCAAACCAAGAATCTTGAAATACAGGAACCAGGAACTTAGGACTAGAAACCAGGAGTTGTTTCCCCTTTTTTACAGTGTTGTTCCCACTAAAGGCCTGAGAGCCCCAAAACCACTTAAAAGGCCTCAATCCCTCCCATGACATCACTTCACACACACCTGCTTTTTCTCTCCTTATCTCTAAGCCTCTGAGAAAAATGAGTTTGTCTTGGTTTTGCATTCTGCCTCCTAATTTCAAAGCGACTTGATCTGGAAAAACCTTTGTCTCCCACATTCTCCTCCAAAGGCCACTCTGGCTTATTTTCATGGGAACTGATATTACTTTCTCCTGTTGCCTGGAAATGGGCTGGAGATTCCAAAACATTTCCCTTCAGGCCCCTGCTGTTTTCCACAGACTCCTCGGAAATTACAGGTTGCAACCCATCATCCCCTTCCTCATCCTCTGAGCACTCAGAAAGCTCATCCAATGCTTGCAAGGCTACAACAGTACTTTAAATAACCTTTGGGAAAGCATGTAAAGCTAGCTTAACATACATCTGATGTGGGCAGGCATCCATTTCTTTCAGAATCTCACTGTTCATACTGGAAATATTTTTGTGTCTTTGTTTTTTCTTGGAAATTATTGGAATCGCTTCAAATAGAACGATATATGTGAGTTTAGCTGAATATAAGTTTTCTGCCATAAGCAGCTAATCAGATGGTGGCACAGGCACACTGGAGATAATTGAATTTTAGTGATGTTGAAAATGCAGCCAACAATGAATGAAAGGCTTTGAAATGTCATATTAGAATGCCAGGACATGCGAGATCAAAACTGTTTCTACATTAAGTTGACGCCTTAAGGAAATAGAAATTTTTAACATAATTCCTATCAGAACATTTAGTCCTCGAGTGACAAAGGTTGAATTCTTTGAAACAAATGTTGTGTTCTGGCATCAGCAGCTGATTTCATATATTTCAGGATTTTTTTATGAAAACCATGGAATCATAGTGTTAGAAGATACCCCAATGGCCACCTAGTCCAGCCCCAGTCTGCCATGTAGGAAAACACCACCAAAGTACTCCTAACAGATGGCCATCCAGCCTCTGTTTAAAAGCCTCCATAGAAGGAGACTCTCCAAGGCAGCGTATTCCACTGGAGAACAGCTCTAACCATCAGGAACCGTCTATCAATTCAGACTTTAATTGTCCTCACTTCAGTATAGGGAAAGCAAATTGGCATTTCCATGTTGATTTTCTTCTCAGGTTAATCCTGAGCATTGGAATTAATGTGGGGGTGTGGAATGGATGTGATTTGTTTATAGTTCTCCACAAAATCCTGAAAGTGAAATTGAACACATCAGTTTGTACATGGATATCATATGCAATTCTTACTCATTCCAATATTATAAAAAGGCACTGTCTATGAACCTTTGCTTTTTCACTTATATTAATGGACAAATGAATGCTTGTCAAGGCAGGACATTGTAGAGGGTCAATTCCAATTATATTGTCAACACATTCAATTCCTAGATATACTGTTGCAAAAAGTAATATCATTTTCCATAGAAACAAGTCCCAGTTAGAAATAGTGGCCAATTATACATTCATACTGAGAGCAATTTGGCAGTTACTGCTGGAACAATTGTTTTGGAGAAAATCTGTTTAAATTGGTACCAGCAAAATTGTACCAGCTAATGTTGGAAGCAATAAGATTTTTCAGGCACTGAATTTCAGGAGATGCTTTGGAGAAGAGAGATGCAAAATCACTTTATTTTTCATCAGCAAATGTAAAGGGGCTTTTTAAATTTTACTTCTTTCAAAAATTGTGCTTTGAAATTGAATAGAAACATTGGAATTAGGGTAAAATTTATAATTGTGAATAAAAAATGACAATAATATTCAAACCATGCATAGTGGTTTCTTTCTACTGTTCTACCATTTTGGCTCATTGATTTGCAAAATGGAACTGCAATGCTGTATCCCAGTGAAGGTTAACTTCAAAAGAGGTTTTCACTCACTGAGTCCTTAATGAATGGGTCACAGAATTTTTCTTCTTTACAAAAATTTATATGGCTTTTAATGTCTTATTCGAAATTAAAACACAGTTGCTTAAGTATGTTTCTAAACTATAGTGAAGGAAGAAAAAACTTATTACAGGCGGATATGTATAATCCATTGTGTATTTCATCTTTCACCTGTAGACTGCTTGTCCCACTCAGAATAAAATGTTGTGTGGTATCAATAGTTCATTACACATCCTTTTTAAAATTAATATAGGTTTACTCTTTCATTGTTCACATAGACAAGCAGAGCTTATAAATGTCTGTATTAATATGGAAAGCTAAAATACAATCTGATTTAGAAATGATTCCATTGAAAATGTGAAAGAGTTGTTTTTGGCCCCTTAACAATTGGTTATATAAGGTAAAGGATGGGAAAGGAGTTGTGTTATTAAAAATGCATTGTCTGCAAGGTCTTACAACAAGAATTTATGACTTCTCTTGCTGTTTTAGCTTACATAATATAATAGAAATAATGCAAAACACTCCTAGATCATTTATGTGATATTTTCTGTGGTTGGGATGGCTCTCTCAAAATTAAAGCTTTGTTTTTCCTCCAAGGCTTTAGATTTGGCAGCATATGCCACACAACATGCCCAGTTCAAGGACTGGTGGTGGAAAGTGCAAATCGGGAAGTGTTATTACAGGTAAACATCTTACTCTTTTTAAAACTTAAGATTTAAGCTCATCTGCATTGGCTTAATACTTGTTCTTATTGGTACCCTTCCTTGGACATAAGATTCCTGCTTCTTACTTCCCCTTACAGCATGGTTTGAGAAGCATGATTGCATCTCGCACCTTGCTATCTTTTCAGTTATATCCAAATTGAGTAATACAGTCTATCAGATTTGGGGATAGGAATCTCTTTATCATAACAGTTTAGAACAGTGGTTCTCAACCTGTGAGTCCCCAGATATTTTGGCCTTCAACTCCCAGAAATACTAACAGCTGGTAAACCAGCTGGGATTTCTTGGAGTTGTAGGGCAAAACATCTGGGGACTCACAGGTTGAGAACCACTGGTTTAGAATATGAGGTGTGGGAGAGGTAAACAGGCTCCATTAAGTCCTGTAAATATTGGTTCATAGCTGTAGTACATACACTGACTGAATTCAACTCCTATGGTAATTCAACCCCTATGGTATAATCTGAAGAAATTATTTGAATTGTTTTTAAACATGGTTCCGCCTCTCTCTGCAGTTGCCCACCCTCTTTTGAGCATGCTGACAACATTTTTCATTGTTTAGCAAAATTGGATCATGGATTATTATTATTATTATTATTATTATTATTATTATTATTATTTCCAAACTGAATCAACAAAACTATGAGAATATTAAAACCTGAAGCTAGACTGGTAGTTTCTACAAACTATAGGGCTTCTGTCAAAAAGGGCTCTCAATCCAGATGTGGCTGACAAGTAGAAAGGACTCTCGATTCATCTGTTTAGGAAATTGGGGTAGGGAACTATATCTGTTTCTGAAAGAACTGGTAAAACAAGTTGCTGAATGGAATTGTTATTATTTTCATCTCTGTTAAGAGTACTGAAGTGAACGTGGGGTTGGTGGTTGAGGAATGCCACACCTCGAGTTTAACTAATTTATATGCAGATTTAGTCTGGTGAATGAAAGAGAATTGCAATTTTAATAGTGACTTTGTGTGGCTAGTAAAATGATTTTAAAAGTATCTAGCAATGTGTAGTGACAGTAGTGGGGTAATTTCTTACATTTTTGGATGTCCTGGCCTGTTTAAGACTAAGGGGAGAGACTTTTTTTCCAAAACAGAATGACGTCTAGCTTGCGGAAAAGCTTCTCCTGGCTAAGACAATATCAATGGGTCTTCAAAATAATATTAATATTAATAATTATTTTATTAAAATAATAACAATGTATTGAAATCCTCCTCCATAGGGCATCTTATAAGCAAAAAACATAGGGGATTTTCAAACTCTACTTTTCTCTAAGAAATTATATCATAAACATGGGAGGAAGCAACCGATGCACCAAGGTTCAATCCAGGTTCAGTGGAAGCCATGTTCATTTCCTAGATGGCAGAGTAATGGCCTATTCAAATTAAAATATCATTTGCATGTTTTATGTAAACCTAATGAATACATTATGCAGTTTTTAAACCACATCTTTTTGTAATCTCACTGGAATCATTAAGAATTTACCAGTGTGAATATTTTTACTAAAAATATTTGATATGTCCAAAATAATATATATGAAATATTTAACATACAATTTCCTCACTAATGCTCACTTTTGACCTACCTTCCCTTTTGTTCTCTCCAGGCTAGGATTATATCGTGAAGCAGAAACACAATTTAAATCAGCTCTCAGGCAGCAGGATATGGTAGACACAATACTATATTTGGCAAAAGTAAGTGGAAATTATTTCAGATTAAGATTTTGAACTACAGTCTGACATGAGAGAGAGGACATTTTTCAATTTGAATAACTTTTAATTCATCTTTTATAACTTTGTCAAAACCTTTGCTTTTCCTGTTAAATGTTTCATTTGTTACTTCCTGTTTCTATTTCTCTTGTCTGTATTTCTTTTCAAAGACACTTTTTCTTTATCACCCTTATTATAAATGCATAGATTTTGTAATTTTAAGGCTATCTAAGGTTTCCCTGAAACAGTTAGTCATATTTGGCTATTCTGATTGGGCTGTGATTTGGTTTGGCTTGATTCAGACATGACTTGACCCAGCTTGATTTGTAACAAATAACAATTCAGAAATGGTTTATCTGCTCCGGATTTGCATTCAGTATCTGTAACTTTTGAGGAGGGGGTGTTCAGTAAAGTGCATGAAATCTGGATGCATGTAAGCCACCTTCAGTGAAGATTAACTGCGAAATTACAAACGGGTCCAGAAGTTTTTATACTAGCTACTTTTAATATGTAATATGTTTAATTTGTAAAGTGGTTAAAAGTTGATAATTTGTCTGCTGATTTGTCCACTGTGGTAATGTATGTAGCATATACTGGTGTTTAATTATTGATGTCATAACTGTTTTTAAATTGCTTTATACTTGTCTTGTGATGTTCTGCATTGATGTTGTTAACCGCTTTGAGTCGCCTGAGGGCTGAGAAAAGTGGTAAAGAAATAAAGTAAATAAATAAATAAATATGTGTGCATCTTGTTCACAAAAACTGTATTTGTGTATATTGGACTCACACACATTAAGTAAAGACAAGGGATAAAGGAAAGAGAATGAACATTTCTACTAAACAACATAAGATGAAATCAAATTTAATCATGACCTAAAAATAACTTAGGCCAAAATTGGGAAGGAATAAAGCAGGTAAGAGAAGTGTCACTGTCTAATAAAACTGCTGCTCAAAGAATACTGTGATCAACATAGATCACAAAGTATTCAAATAAATATAGTATGTGTATTAGACATAAAGCAATCCTTTGAGACTAATGGGGAGGAAGAATTTTCTAGCAGAAGTTTTTGTGAACTATAGTCCACTTCATTCGATGCATGAAGAAAGCCTCTGTGAACAGACATATATTAACTTGTGTGTGTGTGTCAATATATGTGTATGTATGTGTGTGTGTGTCAATATATGTGTGTATGTGTGAGAGAGAACCACCCCAAGTCCCTCTGGGGAGAGGGGATGAGATATAAATAAAGCTTATTATTCATAGGTTTGCAATACATAAGAGCTCTATTAGCTGCTTTTCACGGCGATCATTAAATCAGTACTTAACACCATTCTAAGATATGTTTTATTTCTATTACTTTTCATAGATACACTCATTTGTCTGTCCATAGAGACTTTACCCCGTTCTCTGAAGTCCATAAAGCTTATGCTAGAATGTTTTTCATCCTAGTTAGTTTTAAAGGTAACACAGGCTTCTTTTTTATGTTTTAACAAATACGGAGAGTAAGGAAGGATTGGACTGGATTGGGATAGGTAAATTCATAGTTGGGTAGTTTTGTATTTACAAGCTCTGGTAAATACAAAGCTACCAATACAAAACTACCAAATTCCTAGAAAACTCTAAAACAAACAAATAATTTCCCCATTTATAAGAATCAACAAAATAATTCTCTGCACCATCCTTTCCCCAATAATAATGATTGGAGAGTGCTTTTGCCTCAAGCCTAGCTTAGCATTTTATTTTTATGATAGTGTTTTACAACCTTTTGGAGA